AGTGCTGGGACTAAAGGTGTGCGCCACCACCGCCCAGCGTAATTGTGTTTGAAGGAGAGGTATGAACTAGCACAGGTGCCTAGGACTCACCATGTGACGCAGGCTGACCCCAGACTCCCATAGTCACCATCGATGCTGGATTATTTTCATACTTTTTTTTTTTTTAAGTTTTTTTCTTCTGTGTTTTTGTTTGTTGATTGGTTTCCTACTTGGATTTTTTTTTTCTTTTTTTTTTTTTTGGTTTTTCGAGACAGGGTTTCTCTGTATCTTTGCACCTTTCCTGGAACTCGCTTTGGAGACCAGGCTGGCCGTGAACTCACAGAGATCCGCCTGGCTCTGCCTCCCGAGTGCTGGGATTAAAGGTGTGCGCCACCACTGCCCGGTTGCTACTTGGAATTTTGAGACGGTATCTCACTATGCTCTTTAGGCTGCCTCGGACACAGATTTTCCTCCCTCGGCTTCTGGAGTGCTGGGATTATAGGCATGCCCCGCCAAGCCTGGCTTTAGTTTTTTGTTCCTGTTTTGTTGTTGATAGTTTGAGTCCAGGTCCGTGTTGCTTGCCAGCTACACACCACTGAGCCTGCCTCTAGCCCTCTTCTGCATGTTTGTTATGAGACAAGATCTTTACTCCAGTGACCAGGCTGGCCTTCCTTGAATCCTCTGTATAGTTCAGGCTGGCCTTGAACTGGAGTCGATTTTCCTGCCTCAACCTCCTCGTACAGAGATTATCGACGTAAGTTGCCACATCCAGCATCCTGAAATATTTTATAATATGCTTCTACTGCTTTGTGGTAAATAATAGTCCCAGTTTAATTGGGCAAATCAGCAGCTGAGCATTTCTTGTGAGTGGAAAAGGCAGGACTGGGTGTGTAACACAGTGGAGGAGCTTGTTGGGTCGTACTCGGCCATGGTTCCGTCTCTGCAGTGAAGACAGAAAAGCGCAAGACTGCTCTTGTTTCCTACCCCTCTGTCCTGCTGTCTGCTTCATGCTGACTCTCTCCTGGCAGTTACGACACGTGGATTCCAGCTAGCGAGATTGAAGCGTCAGTGGAAGATGCTCCAACTCCTGAGAAACCTAGGAAGGTGAGCTTTCCTAACCGCCACCCCCGGAAGAACACCCAGACCAGAGCTCTCTCCGGAGCAGGGGCTCTGTGCTGTGGGCTTAATGTGCAGAGAGTCTCTAGACAGAGCCGTGGCTTCTAGTAACTCTCCAACACGGTCTGCCTTTGCACTTGAGGTTCATGCCAAGTGGATCCTCGACACCGACACGTTCAATGAGTGGATGAATGAGGAAGACTACGAAGTCAACGACGACAAAAGCCCTGCTTCCCGGCGGAAGAAGATTTCAGCTAAGACCTTGACAGATGAGGTGAAAATTATGCTCTTTTTTGTTTGTTTGTTTGTTTGGTTGGTTTTCCAGGATAGGGTTTCTCTGTGTAACAGCCCTAGCTGTTCCAGAACTCACTCTGTAGACCGGGCTGGAACTCACAGAGATCCGCCTGTCTCTGCCTCCCGAGTGCTGGGATTAAAGGTGTGCGCCACCACCGCCCAGCCCATCTGCTCTTTTTTCTTTTTTTTTGTTTGTTTGTTTTTTGTTTGTTTTTTGAGACAGGGTTTCTCTGTGTAGCTTTGCGCCTTTCCTGGAACTCACTTTCTAGACCAGGCTGACCTCGAACTCACAGAGATCCTCCTGGCTCTGCCTCCCGAGTGCTGGGATTAAAGGTGTGCGCCACCACCGCCTGGCTGCTCTTTTTTTCTTAAGCACTTAGCTTAAACCTCAGAGCAAGCCTCACTGGGAGCTGGAGGCACACATTCATCCTGGTTCTCTGATGTGCAGGTAAACAGCCCGGATTCAGACAGACGGGACAAGAAGGGGGGAAACTATAAGAAGAGGAAGCGATCTCCCTCTCCGTCGCCAACCCCAGAAGCTAAGAAGAAGAATGCTAAGAAAGGGTATGCAGCCTTCACCTGCACCCACATGCACTGTCCCCTTGACACACGCCAGAGGAAAGACAGATGCTTCTCGAAGTCACTGCCCCGGCCGGGTGTCTGAGAGGAGCGTGAGGGAATCTTCCTGTGCCTGCTTTATGGTTTTAGCCCAGTCAACATGAAACTGAAGGAAAGCTTAGCCTCCCGACAGAAAGCCTCCTTCTGCACCCCACCCCCACCCCCCACCCCCGTCACTCGGCACGTACCGGCTTCTGTTCCACCCAGCTCCACCCTGATGAGTCCCTCTCTTTTCCTTTCCAGACCATCAACACCTTACACCAAGTCAAAGCGAGGCCACAGAGAAGAAGAACAAGAAGACCTGACGAAAGACATGGACGAGCCCTCCCCAGTCCCGAACGTAGAAGAGGTGACGCTCCCCAAAACAGGTATGGGCCACGCCGAGCCCCCAGGCTAACCCCCTCCCTTTCCCATCCCTGCTGTGCCAAGCTCTAAAAGGGCTGATTTCCCAGATCCAAAGCAGCTTTCCCTTCTGCGTGGCTGACTAGTGAAATTATCATTCCCCTGAGAAATCCTCTTGCTTCATATCCATGTCTGATGTGGACACGCTTTCAACTAACGGCAGTTGTCTGCAAACTTTGTTTTTCTGATCTGAGGATCAAACCTAGGACCTCCTGTGTGCTAGCAAATGCTCTACCACTGAACTACAGATCCTTTTGTGTATGTGTGAGCACAGACGCAAGCTTGTAGAGGCCGGCGTTCAACGTCAGGTGTCATTCCTCAGGAGCCTCTGCCTTGTGTTTTTAACATTTGTTTGCGCGTGCATATGTGTGTGGGGGGGACTTGCCACGGTGCATGTGTGGAGGCCAGAAGACAACCGGGAGTTGGTTCTCTCCTCTGCCTTGTGTTTTGAGACCTGGGTTTGCAGGATTAGGCTAGTCTGGTTTGCCCGTGAGCCTCAGGGACTGCTTTTCCCTCTTCCCAGGGCTGTGAGTAGAAGCTCATGCCACCGTGCCTGTGCCTGCCTTTTACATGGATACTAAGGAGCGATCAGGTCTTCAGGCCTGTGCAACAAGCACATCAGTGACTGAGCTGTCTCTCTTCCCTCATAGCTTTGGTTATACCTTCCCATCAATAAAATATATTTCAAGAAGGGGGCGGGAGAGATGGCTCAGCAGTTAGAGCACTGGCTGCTCTTCCAGAGGACCTGAGTTTTGTTCCCAGCAACCACATGGCAGCTCACAACCATCTTTTTTTTTTGGTTTTTCGAGACAGGGTTTCTCGGTGTAGATTTGGAGCCTGTCCTGGAGCTCACTCTGTAGACCAGGCTGGCCTCGAACTCACAGAGATCCACCTGCCTCTGCCTCCCGAGTGCTGGGATTAAAGGCCTACGCCACCACCACCACCCGGCTGCTCACAACTATCTTTAATTCCACTTCTAGGGTATTCAGCACCCTGGCACAGATGCACACGTAGGCAAACATCAATCAAATAAATAAATCATATATATATATATAAATTTCAAGACAAATTATGCAAATTACACTACCAAAGCATTACTTTAGGGCCATTATAAAACACATGCAAACATTGTCATTAAAAAATGGAGTGGGGTAGGGCCTGGGCAGTTGTCTCAGTGGTTAAGAGCACTGACTGCTCTTGCAGAGGACCCAGGTTTGATGCCCTCCACCCATAATGGCGGTTCACAACTGTCGAATTCCAGTACCACAGGACCCAACACCCTCTTCTGGCACTGCGTGTAGGTGGTACACAGACGTACATTCTAGCAAAACACTCGTACACATAAAAACAAACCTCTAAAAAATTATATTTTGTTTTTGTTTTTCAAGACAGGCTTTGTCTGTGTAGCCCTGGCTGTCCTAGAACTCACTTTGTAGACCAGGCTGGCCTCGAACTCACAGAGATCTGCCTGCTTCTGCCTCCTGAGTGCTGGAGTTAAAGGTCTGCACCACCACCACCCAGTAGGATTTTTTTTTTTTCTGATACGCTGTTTTTGGCCATGTGAAAGTAAAATCTATTGACTTTTAAAATGTATGCGTAGTAGCTGGGTGGTGGTGGTAGCACACGTTTTTAATCCCAGCACTCAGGAGGCAGAGGCAGGTGGATCTCTGAATTTGAGGGTAGCTTGGTCTACAGCATGAGTTCCAGGACAGCCAGGGCTACACAGAGAGACCCTGTCTCTGAAAAAAAAAAAAAAGAAAGAAAGAAGGAAGGAAGGAAGGAAGGAAGGAAGGAAGGAAGGAAGGAAGGAAGGGAGGGAAGAAAGAAAGAAAGCTAGACCAAGGGTATTGCTTGTTAGAGCGCTTGCCTAGCATGCACAAAGCCCGGAGTTTAATACGTAACACTGTGGTGCAGCTCTGTAATTCCAGCATGTGGGAAGCAGGAGAATCAGGAGTTGAAGGCCAGCCTGGGATACGTGAGATCCTGTCTTTAAAAACATAAAAAAAGGTGCTGCAGAGATGGGTCATCCTGAGGACCTGAGTGCCTATCCTTAATACACCCTATAAAACCACTGAGTGTGGCAGTGTGTGCCATAATCCCAGTACTGAGGTGGAGGCAGGAGGAGCCCAGGGCCTTGCTAGCTAGTCAGTCTAGCTGAATCTGAGCTCAGGTTCAGTGAGAAGCCTCATCTCAAAAAAGAAAGAAGAGTGATAGACAGTAACACCAATGTAGACCTCTGACCTCCACATAAATACAGGTACACTCGCACACATACTCAATAAATTTGAATTTTTTAAAAAGAAAAATGTTGGGGCTAAAAAATGGCTCAGCAGTTAAGAATGCATGCTGCTCTTGCAGAGGACCTGGGCTTCCCATCACCCACAGATGGATTACATTAAAAAATCTCCAGGGGATCTGGTGCTCTCTTGCGGCTTCCAGAGGCACCCTTTACACATGTTCACACACATACACGTGTGTACATATTATATTAAAGCAGATAATTTTTAAAAAGAGAGAAAGATGTAAAGGGCATCAGGAACAGCTCTAAAGAGAAGCTGCTTTTCTTCTGTATCTCGGCGGGTCGCGTTGGGCACACACACTGTAGAGGACGCTGCACTCCAGTACTGCGGTCTCTGTCCCATTCACTGGCCTCAGCTACTCCAGAAATATAGTTCAGGGGTAAGATTTGGGAAGCTGTTTTCTCCTGGACGTTGTGTACGTCAGCTGAGCAAAGTGTCTTGCTTTAAAAGGTTTAAGATTAGGTTGGGGTGCAGCTTATTGTAGATGCACCTGCCTGTGGGTGCGGGTCCTGCATCCCATCCCCAGCACTGCAGACAGTTTTAAACAATCTTGTTTAAATATTTAAGGCAAGCAAGCACAAGGCCCTGGGTTTGGTCCTCACCTCTGGGGGGAAAAAAAATTTAAGCCAGACATGGAGTCACATAATTTTAAATCCCAGCACTCTCCCCAGGCAGAAACAAGGGGAGCTCTGTGAGTTGGAGGCCAGGCTGGTCTCCATTGTGAGTTCCAGGACAGCCAGGTTTCATAGAAAGACCCTGTCTCAAAGATAAATAAAATAAAATAAAAATAAATTAAGGTCTGGCCAGACATGGTGGCACAGGCCTTTAATCCCAGCACTCAGGAGGCAGAGGCAGGTGGATATCTGTGAGTTTGAGGCCAGCCTGGTCTATATCGAGTTCCAAGACAGCCAGGGCTACACAGTGAGACCCTGTCTTCAAAACAAAAACAATAATATTATTAATTAATTAATTAAGATCTAACGATTCAACTAGGCCTAGTGGCTTAACATAGTTTGTTTTTGTTTTTGTTTTTTTTTGGTTTTTCGAGACAGGGTTTCTCTGTGTAGCTTTGCGCCTTTCCTGGAACTTGCTTTATAGACCAGGCTGGCCTTGAGCTCTCAGAGATCCTCCTGGCTCTGCCTCCCAGGTGCTGGGATTAAAGGCGTGCGCCACCACCGCCCGGCTGGCAGAGGTTTATAATTCTAATTACTTGCAAGGTTGAGGCAGGAGAGGTGTAAGTAGTACCAAGCCCACCTGGGCTGCAGAATGACGACTCCTAAAGTCAACCTTAATGAGCCTTTGTCTCAAAAGAAGAAGCAAAGTCAAGTATAGTAGCTCATACCTGTAATTAGTGCTTGGCAGGCAGAGGCAGGTTGATCAAGAGTTCAAAGCCAGTCTTAGCCACATAGTGAATTCAAAACCAACCTACGCTGCTTGATTCTGTTTCTTTAAAAAAGAAAAAGAAAAAGGATTTATTTTTTCTTTCTTTTTTTTTTTTTTTAAGATTTATTTATTTATTATGTATACAGTGTTCTGCCTGTGTGCCAGGTCACATTACAGATGGTTGTGAGCCACCATGTGGGTGCTGGGAATTGAACTCAGGACCTCTGGAAGAGCAACCAGTGCTCTTAACCACTGAGCCATCTCTCCAGCCCAAGATTTATTTATTTATGTATTTTATGTATATGGGTGTTGGTCTGCGTGTACATCTGCACACCAGCAGAGGGCTTCGGGTTCTGTGGGACTACAATTATAGATGGTTGTAAACCACCATGTAAATGCTGGGGATTGAACTAAGGATACCTGTAAAAGCAACCAGCGCTCTTAACCACAGAACCATCTCTCCAGCCTGAGGCTGTTTCAAAAAGCTAAAGCAAAAATAAATAAATAAATTGAGGAAAAAGAACAGAAAGTGCTGAGGAGCTGGGCCTGTGGAGCGGGCTGTAATCCCACCACTCAGAAGTGCAGGCTGGAGAATCAGGGTCACTCCTGGTCACACAGCAAGGTGGAAGCCTGGAATACATGAGACACTGTCTCAAAATAAAAACAAAAACGAAAGGCTCAGAGCTGAGGTCGCCCCTCGGTGGGGCCCTTGCGTATATGCAGGAGACTGGAGGTTCAGTTGCCAGGACACCAAGGGTGGTTGGTGTCTAACTACTTATCTATAGATGATCCAGTTCAAATTCATAGAAGATGATACAGGAAAACAGGGACCAGTCAAAGACAGGAATGGCCCTCAGGATGCCGAGGCAGGAGAATCATAGGAGTTTATACGCATAGATAGGGAAGCTAAATGGAATCATTGGTTGGGTAAGGCAGTAAATTAACTAGTGTGTTTCAAAGTTTGTTTTGAGAAAGCAAGAAAAACTATTAACAGTTGAGAACCGAGGGCTTGCTTTTGGCTAACGTGTCTAATACAGTGGCTCTGTCTCCTGGCAGTCAACACTAAGAAGGACTCGGAGTCGGCCCCAGTCAAAGGAGGCACCATGACTGACCTGGGTAAGACCGGGAGAGCTCCCCTTCCCCAGCCTTGTGGCTTCCCAGGAGGCCCCCCCTGCCCCGCGCGTGCGCCTCTGGAGGCCCTGGCCTTACATCTGGCCTTCTCTCTCTCTCTTTCAGATGAACAGGAGGACGAGAACATGGAGACCACGGGCAAGGTGGAGCCAGTTTAGAGAGGCTCTACCTCTCTGTGTGGTTGTGGCTGTAAAGTTCCTTCTGCCTGGGCTTTTTCCCACCGTAGATTGCTCTGGCTGTTGCTCAGAGCTGCAGCCCACTCAGAGCCCCAGGGCCCATGCTCCTCCTCCTCCTCACCACCTCTTGTTAGTGCCCGTGCTCCTGGGTGTAGGAGAGACTGAGGGATGCTGGCGGGCAGTGGGGACGCTGAGTGTCCAGCAGCCTCCGTACTCACAGGATGAGGATGACAGCAGCACGGGCAACAAAGGGGAGCAGACCAAGAACCCAGACCTGCACGAGGACAACGTGACCGAGCAGACCCACCACATCATCATCCCCAGCTACGCCGCCTGGTTTGACTACAACAGGTACTGGGCCAACGCAGCCCTCCCTCGGTGCCTCTGCCCTGTGCCCGGTGCCTCTGCCCTGTGCCGTCCTGTTTCCTGCCTCGGCGGCGAGGTTGGCGGCGCGCTTCCTTCCAGAGGAGTTTGCGGCTCCCCTCTACAGTTCAGGGCGCTTATGACCTCACTCCTTCAGGGCTTCTCTTCCCTCCCCCCCCAGTACCTTCTGAATCCGCTGTAACTTCTCTTGCAGTGTCCACGCCATCGAACGGCGGGCTCTCCCTGAGTTCTTCAATGGCAAGAACAAGTCCAAGACTCCAGAGATGTAAGATTTTTCAGCTCATGACTCTCTTTGGTGACCTTTCTGCATTCACCCCTCCAGATTAGCAACATCCGACCAGGCTCTGTTAGGCTTCCAGAGAGATGTGAGAGATGCCGCTAGCCATCCACAGCCTAACACTTGAACACCTGTTCTCTAGGTGTGCCTGAGGATGATAACGTAGAGCGTAGAGCGCTCTCTGTATAAAACAAGTGCCTTCCCCATGCTATCATTGCTTCATGTTTCAACAGATGCGGACAATTTCAGTCCATGATTGTTCTGTTCTCTGAAACGCACATAACCCTAGTGTAAGCAGCACCTTTAATTAAACTGTAGACGACTATGACTAGGTGGAAATCCTGATAGGAAAACAAGATAAGGCCAACCCTGGCGGTTCACATCTGCACGTGGGAGGCTGAAGCAAGAGCTCAGATGGGAGGCCGGTGTAGCTTCCTAGGTAGATTTTCTCAAAGAGAAGAAAAAAGAGGACAAGAGAAGGTCCCGTTCTGAGAAATACCAGATGGAGTGCACATCTGGAAGAGTAGCATGTAAAGTCCAGGACTGGGGCTGGAGAATGTGGCGCTGAAGTGGAACTGGTGCCTAATGTGCACAGGAGCTTTGTCCCAGCACCACCACGCACGTGGAGAGCAGAGGCAGGCAGATCTGTGTTCTAACACCACCGCACATGCAGAGG